ATAGACATTTGACTGGCAGCATAACATGATACAACACATAGCATAGAAATTAGTGATCTGATTTACAGCAGGTAAGATGCCCCCGTTACACATGCCTTTTATACATTCTTGAGACCAATGACAAAATGCATTACTACATTTTTCACTTATATAAGGTTACATCATTTTTCTACAGCTGTACAACATCAAGTCTTTAGCCTTGGTACTCACCTGCATCCACTTGGTAGATGACTCAGGTAAAATCAGCCATTTTAGCTTCTACTATAAAACATTTATATTTATTGCATATTCAGATCAAAATCTCAACATGCAGATGGGGGACTTGACCAATATGCAATAGGCCGTATTGTGGTGATGAGGTGGGAATGGCAGAGGATGTTTATATTCATAAGCAAAGTGTGGGAGGGTGTGATGCCATCCTGGCCTTAGATAATCCATTAAATAAAGATTGGAATCTGCCCCATGATTGATGGTTGTACTGTAATGAGTGGACAAAATGCTGTGGGCATTGCTTAGATCCCTGGAGCCAAAGTTTTTAGATTTGTAAATATATTAACCAGCTTCTGGGGACTCACAGCTGAATTAGACAATACAGTTAGCACATCATTAGAAGCAGAATTGCCTTAGAAGGCATACTAGGCTGACCTTATTTTGTAATTGGTCAGCTAGGAGATAGCACAACCTCTTGGCCTATATACTGCCACACACCCATAACTCTGAATGATTTGCATGCCCAGAGGGAAAATGTTGTAAGAGGGAAAAAATGCACATTTGCTTTAACTCTAAGAATCAAACTGGAATCTGACAGAAGTGGCTTCTAGTTTTGGAATAACAGGCTCCAAATATCAGGCTGCTAAAAACACTCCAGAAGCAATATTGTGCACCAGCTGTAGTTTCTGAAAACTCTTCAAAGAGAATTCTATACTAAGTAAGAGCCTGGTCCCATTACTAAAAAAACAAACAAAAAAAACACCTATTTAAATTGAGCTTAGTGTGTTTTGCATCAATTTAAATTTGGGTGTTTACACAAAGAATGTACTTAAGTAAGAGCCTGGTCTCATTACTAAAAAAAAAAAACCCTCCTATTTAAATTGAGTTTAATGTGTTTTGCATCAATTTAAATTTGGGTGTTCACATGAAGAATGTACACGTGTGGAGTAATTTGAAAAGGGATAGTTTTCTTATGTGTGTCAGAGAGTTATTTTGTTCCTCTCCCTAGGTTCTGTTTATTTTAGCGAAGATGTGGAATCAGTTAATGGAATTGATTCTGCATAAGTGAATGCCCCTGTCCACCTTCTTTTTAAAATTTCTGCTATCTGATATAGCGCTATTCCGGATAGCAGTGATTTTTTTTTTAAAAAAAAGCATAATGGGCCACTTGCTGAGAAAGCCAGCACCACGCTTCCCTGCATTGCCTGCTCACCCGCTCTCCTTACCACCTGCTTGCGTTCCCTGCCTTATCCGCCCACCCATCCACCCTGCTTGATTGTTTGATTGCCTGCCCAGGCCTCTCTCACCTGGAGCCCCCTCTCCTCACATGGGGCACAGGGGACCCAGGCTCTAGTGCAGGCACTGGGAGCCAGCTGAGAAGAGCAGCAGCCAGCTGATGGGTGCTCATCACTGGAGCAGTCTGGCGATAGAGGCAGCGGATATACACACCAATCCAAAAGCTTTTGGGTTTGGATTAAAGTCCATTTGACTTCAGCCCAAATGATAATGATAATAATAAAAAAAACCTGCCCTTTTTCCAGCAGTGTGTTAGTAATACAACTTGGATATAATACCTGCAGCTATCTTGACCATGTCGACAAGAAGTGCTCTGGTAACCCCTATGTTACATGTGGCACAAAAAATGCTGATGTTTGTTTTGGGATTTTTTATTTATTTCAGATGTCCTCTTGGGTTCCTTCCAGCTGTGATTGTTGACTCTTAAGATTTCTGTGAAGGAGTTTTCATGTAGATTTCCTATGGCGTGCTTGTACAAAAGTTTGATGTTGGTGATAATTCTGGCACAGTGCACAATATCATTGTTATGAATATCTGCTTTAAGAAAGGATGAGGAAACTGCATCTGCAAGGGGGCACGTCTTACAGTCAAATTAAGGTATACATTTACCATGTTCTTTGCAGAGGTGCTCCCTCAGTTGCTGAAAGACATCTGAATATAGTAGGTATTACTTTCCTTCATTAGTAACCTGAATTTTGTTTTGTGACTGATTATTGGAAGGTGCAAGAACTTACTCTGCATTTAATTTTCCCTCTTACCTTAGCGTTTGTAATGTTACCCTTCAATCAGATATTATCATGATACTTAGGGCTACAAGAACTTAATTTGCAGTTCTCATTGCTGAGATATGTGGCTCTGAGGAAATCCCATGTTGACATGGGAAACAGGTTTATCATAAGAATAAGCATTTCTCTTAAGGTCTAGTCTGACCCTGACAGACTTTCTGCATTTAATTTTCCCTCTTAACTTAGCATTTGTAGTGTTACCCTGCAATCAGATATTATCATGATACTTAGGGCTTGCTCATACTGCTGATTTGTATCGATTCTAGTTCCAGCTTTTTTTATATCGATGTAAAGTCACGTGATATTTAAATCAATATTTATGTTCATTTTGACTTGAATTATTTCTGGTAATTAAAATCATTTGGGGAATCTACTCTTGAATGTCTGTTCATCTTCTTGTCCCTCGACAGGTCCTTCCTCACTTTCTATGCTTGGTTTGTGCCTCCCCCCAATCCTGCCCCCGGATCACAACCCTTCCCGTCCCCTACCTCACTGGGCACCCACCCACCTCACTTTCTCTGATTACCCGCAACCCCTGCGCTTCTTCGGCCTGGTTAGCAAAGTAGGCCTGAGTATAGGTTACCCGGTAGCCCTGAGCTACCATTGCCCATCAATGTTCATCTGAATAGAGGGATCTTCTGCATCTATTCGTGAAGAATACTTGCCTCCTAGCTTTATAAATACCAGTAATCTCCCATATGAGGAGAAAGCAGGAGAAAATGAGAATGAATAACATTAGAAAAGTTACCTAACTTGCCTTCTTTTTACAAGTCTCTCCCACCTAGAATAAACCTTTAGAGAATACAAATCATTGCCTCAAAAAAATTTGTGGAACAACCATTAAAGTCCTCTTTGTCACTCAAAACTTGATCTGACCTTTCTCTTATTTCCTTTCCATTTATTTATTTATTGACTGTATCATGTCTTTGCTTCTTTTTAAAAAGAAGTTGCTGTAGGAGATGTGTCATGGATTTGAATAGGCTGGCTGGAAACCCGTCATCCAATCTTCAACATGGCCGTGGAATAGCTGGGGATGACAAGTTGCAGACCCTTGTGAACAGTACTTGTGGAAAAAATTACTTCAGCTAAAATAAACATGTTCTGATCCAGGCCACATGCTGGGTGTGAGAGAAACGGGAGGGGAACAGTTATGAACAAAAGATCCTCGGGTTTAATTTATTTTAACATTTTTTGAAACTCTGTGAGCTTTTTCTTTTCACCAAAGACACTTAGTCAAATGTTGGTTTTCATCTCACTGATATGGATCTCCATTAAAACAAAACATTCCACAGGCGTTAGGCTGCTTTACAAAGGATAAACAGGACTGGATCGTGGTAGCTGCTGGTCACATCCTGAAGGCGGTGGTAGCAGACTCAATTTATGAAAACCAGCTTTTGTACACAGATCACAACGGCTGACGGGTGTATTGTGACTCACAAGATACCGTGTCATGCTGAAAGTACCTTTAGAGCTTGTACACACTGAGCATTTATTCAACTTTCTTTGTACACCTTATACTGGTTCTGCATTCTGGTGTCTATGTGATGCAAGGTTGAAACTAGTGTCAAGTGTCAGTGAGGAGCGAGAGGTGGGTGGGGTTTTTCTTTTTGTTTATTTTGGTTCTGCTTTGCTCCAAAGTATGAAGTAGGAAGAACTGATCTATGCTGATCCATGCATTTTGTACACCGATGATCACTTTGTGGCCATTTGTACTTTTATGACATTTCCTTATGGACAAATTTCTGATGCTTGGGCAGGGACAATCAGACAAACACATAGCTTGCTAATTACTTCACTTTTGGTGCAGTTTGTTTGGCCTCAGTTTCATCTTTTTTGCCTACATAGATACCTCAGGCTTGATTTGATCTAGGACAGCGGTTCTTGATCTGTGGAATCTCGGGGGCCTGCAATGTCCCCACAGGGGATCTGTGAAGGCTTAAAGAAATATGATGACCTTTTGCAGTTAAAATAGAGAGAAAGGAAAGAGAGAGAACGAAAGAAAGAAGAATTTCCCTTGCTTGTTTGTGTAAAACTTAACTTTTCTAACCTACCGCCTCCATTAAAAACAAACAAAAGGTAAAAATTGGTTATGAAAATAACAGTTTGATAGCAAATAACTTCGATGTTTCTGCACATGGTGAGAACATGCAAGTGAATGATGCTGAGAGGCAGAGACATTTCTCGCTACTGTGGAGTTACTAGAGGGGCTCAAAGCAGCAGAAGAATTTTCACTCCTCCATCTGAAGCTAGTCTTTTCATATGATATGTTCTGTGTACAGATTGAACAACTAAAGGGAAAAAGTGCACCCTTGTCTGATACCTTTGCATATAGGAAATTATTCTGTCTCTTCAAGTAGCACATATGCAGGGATTTTAATTAAAAATGGCTGCCTCTGGCCCATGTACACACATGCAGCATCAACTGGGTGTTTTAAAAATGTCAGAGAAAAGTTTGATTCTAGTGATCCTTGGAAAAGCACCTAGAAAAAGACACAGATGGCCTCTGGGCCCTAGAGGAAAAAATGAAGTAAATGCATTACTTATGGATTAAGAGGTACTATAATGCATTGTTCTTTGGGAAGTTGAAACAGTTGCTTTATAATAATGAACAAGAGTCACCGGAAAAGTGTCACTGGTACTTCTTGTTTTCCATGTACCTTAAGAAACTGAACAAAGCAAATGCGTTCACTGACACCCTCAGGAAAAGGCCAGTCACTTCCTGAGCAGTAATCTGCCTGCCTGCAGCAGATAGATCCTCATTGTTTGCTACTTCCAGTTTCCAGTAGTGGGAATGATTACTGGACCAATCTCTAGCCTGTCTGTAGGGCTCGGGTCTTGAGACAACATACCCACTCTTACAACATCTTCTACAGGAAACCCTGGATTTTCATTTCAAAGCAGAAACTTAAAACTTGGTCATGACTGAAGGTCTTTGAAGAACGGAAGGATCAAGAACTAATGACTGTTCCTTCATTTGGGAGTTATCTATCCTCATTCCAATGACGAGATGTATTGTGTTTTGCTGTTGATCCTCTTACATTGTAAGTCGGGGTGAAATATCTTCGATGATAATGATGATAATAATTGTTGTTCTCCTGTTGTTGTTTTGACACTCCTCTCCTTTTTTTTCAGGCTGCAAGCTACAAGCTCAGGAGAATGGTGAGTTTGGAATTTTGAAAAAAAAAGTATGCCTATCCTGTCTAAGGACTTGCAAGTTTATTTGGGGCAGTAAAAAGTCAGATTACTCTAAATTTGCAAAAGCAAAACCCCCCAAAACACACCTTTGACTCAGATTAAAAATGTGACTTTTGTCATTTCCCAGTATAGACTGAAATGTGGTAGTACTAGAAGTGTTCTGCTGTGGAAGGCTGGTTAACATTTTATCTGCCCACCATTTTCCAGGACAAAACGACACATCCCGCTCCACTGGCTTTTGTTCCCTCTTTGACAAAAGAAACGAATATTGTAAGACCACCTTTGACGTTTTGCTCTACAAGGCGAATCCTACCTTTGGAAGCATTTTAATCAGTTATAATTGTGCAGATGGAGAAAGAGTTAAAACACAAGTGGCAAACTGTCCAGATAGAGTCTCGTTTCTTTCAGTATCTGATATGTTGGACAAGAATATAAAATGTACATTTCATTCTTGAGCTCTTCAGTAAGGCCATGCTGCGGTGCTGACTCCAGGGAAAAATATTTTTTGCAGGTTTATATTCCCTTTTAAACTAATTTAATCTTAACCTTGTTTCCTTCTCCCTATAAGCCTTAGGGTGTTATTTCAATTCCTGTCTCCCAGTCTTCCCTTTTCTTCACCATTTTTCTACTTTTATTGTATATCAGCAGAGGTCTGCCCCTTCTCTTTCACGCACTCTGAAGTCCAACTGTTTCTGCAGATCTGTCTTTTCCTCTCCCTGACCCGTGGTTTACAGTACAGTACATAGGTCGAGTGTAAGGCACTGCCTATAAGACTTTCTTCATCATCATTATTGTTTATTGTTTTAGAAGAATAATTTATTGTTTGTGCAAAATACTTACTATTAATTGTTACAGAGAAAATAACAGAACAATGTCAGGTAATCAAATATGAACATATTGTCTAAAAGGCATCCTGTAAGAATTACTAATGGCGTTCACAATGAATGCATTAGATGACTTCTGTATTTTATCATGTGTGTCTTCTGTGCCATCAAATCGGAACCAACCTATGGTGACACTAACAGGGCTTTCAAGATAGTTGAGAGATTGAAAGATTTGAGAAGTAGTTTTACCAGTCCCCTCACTCCCCGGGAGTTTCCAAGGCCCAGTGGGGATTTGAACCCTGTTGAGTTTAAACAAATGAGTCTTTCACCATCAGGTATAGCTTGGAAATATTGTCCAACAACTTTTGGAAGGCCACATATCTCCCTCTCTTTGTTTTCCCCAGCAGCTTAATTTAAACATAAATTAATCACCCTGCCCATCCTTTTAATGATGAATGCTGTCCTTCTGAGAAGCATTCTTTGACATCAATGTAGTATTCCCCCCCCAAAAAAAAATTAAGTAAAATATTGAAGTACACAAAAGAGATTTTTCATGTTCAGCCAGTGTTTATAGAATTTCACATACAATTTGGGAAGAAGTGGGGATTTAAAAAAAAAACAATGAAACCTCCTTGAAGCTATTCTCTTTTAGTCTCTGTACTTCTACTGCTTTGAACAAGGAATTTTAACCAGAAATTCAAAACTCTGCAACAAAGGTTATGAACAAATCTTATCTGAGGAGGTTGGGATTTGATCCACAAAACATCAGGGAAACAAATCTGTTAATACTTTGTCTCCCCTACCTTTTTTTCTTCTTGTTGCCAAAAGACTATAATAGTGATATTGTTTTCAAGCTTCCTCCCTCTACTTCATTGACTGCTCGTTCTCAGAAGCAAGGATGAGGAAATCCTCATGTGGTGTATGTCACACCATTTTTATTGTTGTTGTTGTTGTTGTTGTTGTTGTTGTTGTTGGTGTAGTAGTAGTAGTTGTTGTTATAGATTTAGAGATGTGAGTTTGGGACACCTAAACAATTGCCTGAAGCAATCCATCAGGCCTCAATTGTTAGGCTGACTGTCCCCTTCAGAAGATAAAAATGATATTGCAGCCACCGAGAAAGTGTGTGTGTGTTGGAGCTTTGTTCTGCTGTTGATACCTGACATGGCAGCCTCTCACAGGTTCCTCTGTGGGAACTTGACAGGAACAGCCTGGCTGAGCTCTACTTCATGCACTAACTTCCTTCTTAGATTCAGCTGTTTCAGCCATTTGTGAAATATGGTCATTTTTTCAATGCTCCTTGGGCTTTAGGGGTCCCGGAGTTTCCAAGTCCACTTTTAAGAGCTACATTGGCAGGAAAAGGAAACCCACAGTGGCCTTTCTCATTACATTCTGATGAGAGAAGCTGCATCAGACAGAATTATCCTTCAGCACAGTCATTGAAGATACCAAAACCTTGGTATCTTGGTATACCAAAGCCTTGGCATTGGATTCCTGAGAGGCTATGGCTTCCTGGCCTGCATCTTCCTTGTCAAGATGTGTAATTCTGAATATATAGAATTTTCAAACTCATTACGGGAGATGTAGAAAAATAAGCTCTGGAAAGGTACACTACATTTTAAAAATGGGGCTTGAACACCACTTTACTCACAGTAGCAGCAAAGCAAACAGTCAGCTTCAGCCAAGTCTACAAACAAGGTCACTGTATAATAACACTGCCTTGCAAAGCTCTTGCAGGAGAAACTCTCCCCATAGTACTTAACAGTCAAGTGTGAGGTAAACAAATGATTTAAAAAGCTGTGAAGGTAAACAGAGAATTGAAAATGTCTTGAAATAATTCTTTTCTAATATGTAAAAGGTGAACATGAAAGACCTAAAGTGTTTCAGGTCCTATGATTTGCTCTAGTTTATTTTACTACTGTAGACTCCTGTAGTTTCAACCCAGTGAATGTAGGCTCCGTAAGAGGCAGTCAAAATGATAATGCTTATCGCCATGGTGCCAGATTCTGATTTGCAGGAAATGTCTTAACAGGAGTTGTAAAAGCAATGGAATTTTCCATTATAAATTTTTCCCCAGTGAATGAAGACCCTGTAGTTACAGGTCCAGCAAAAGAGATTATTGGCAGTAAAGGGAGATTAAGGAAAATTAGGATAGAAAAGATAGTCAGGGCAAGGAGCAAAGGAGAGCAGTGTTTGAGGGGAGAACACTCTCCTGGGGGCAGTAAGGGGTAAGATTTTTGACTGTGTGGTGGTGTGATTTCGTATTATGCTTATGTTTCTGGGAGTTGCAGTCCAAGAGCAACTGGGTTACCCAGGGGTAGGAACTATTCCTCTAGTCTATTAATTTCATAGTTTAAAATACTTACATAAATGTTATTTAATTGAGAGTTTTTGTAACTTAGTTAATATGCTTTTGTAGTACGTAATGTTTTTATTATTAAGTATTTGTAACACTTTAGCTGAACTCTTTTTATTACACATTGAAGCATAATATTAAGTTTGGCTAGTGGGCGCGTATTTTCCATTCAGCTTATTCTCATAGTTACAGTTCTAGAATGTTGTACAGTATTAACTTTCCTAGTTACAGTTTTTGGATACAGTATTTAGTAGATAGAGAACAATGTTACACACACATATCTGCCTTCATAAGTTTGTTTAATAAAAGGAAGAAAAAGAGATTTTTCTGGACGTTCAGTTTATCCGGAAAAAGAACTTAAAGGATATAAAAAAGAAGGGAGTAAATTGTATAGTGTGCATATTTGCTTCTGGTTCATTCTGGAATTACTCTTAATTAAGTGGGATAAATCCCAGCGGTGATGAACACTGGCTTTTGATATTTTTTTTCCCTTAGAGGTCTATAAAGTTCCATAGGGCTCCGAGGGAAATGTTCAGGTGTCTAACTTTCTGATCTGACACTCCTAAATCCCATTGTTTCCTTATTTGTTCATTTTCCTTCAACTAACAGCATACAGTTCCATTGTCTTTAGTCCTTTCTACACCTCCATTTCCCTTCCTCCTATTATATTTCCTTAGTTGTGTCCATTTTAGTCCACCATCTCTTTTCTAGCTTCCTGTAATCAGTAGGACCACAATTCTGAAATAACTAATTTCAAATTATGAATTACTTTTAATTCATATATTTCCCCCCATAACAAAGATGACTGTAAGGTTGTAATGTGATAACTTCACTGCTTTGCACTATAATTGTATTTTTAACATGAGTGATTACTCGCAGGTACTTCTGTAACTGCTGGGATATGGTATATCTAAACTTTAGAGGTGAAATATGAAATTGTTGTGGCTGGTTCATATTTGCTGTGAGCTATTATTTTTTCAAAGTAACTAAAAGGACCTGTTTTATTTCCTTTTGAGAAAGAGGTAAATAATTATTATTTTTTTAAAAAATGAAAATTAAATTATAATGAAAATTATAATGGGTAGATTTTTTTGTGTTTTTTGACTTTGTAGAAAAGTACAAAAATGACAGGAGGGCTTGGCGTGCTCTGGTCCATGGGGTCATGAAGAATCGGACACGACTAAACAACAACAACAAAAATGTTAGGAAGTTCCATTGATGCAATCTAAGAATGCCCACTACTGTATATACTAGAGGGTGCTGATAAGTATTGAGCCTTTCAGAGAAAAAAAATTGAGCTAGGAAGCTGTAACTGCCACACTATTCTACATATTCTTCGAGGAAGTCAATGCACTTGCGACATCTGTCCTGCACTTTCTTAAGTCCCTGCAAATAAAACTCTTCCAACTGCTGGTGTAACCAATCATTTGTAGCATTAGTTGCCTCCAGAACACTCCCAAATTGTTGTCCCTTTAGGTGTTTTTTGAGTTTGGGGAACAGATAATAGTTAGAAGGAGCCAGGTCAGGAGAAAAGGGTGGGTGGGGGATCACTTGAAAGACTAAAGAGGTCAGTTTTGTCATTGTTCCACCTGCAGTGTGTGATGAAGCATTGTCATGCAACAGGATGACACCTCTGGAGAGCTTTCCTTGATGTTTTTCCTTAATATTTTGCCTCAACTTTGTCAATAAAGCACAGTAATATTTTGCATTGATGGTTGAACCCTGTTGGAGGTAGTCTACCAGCAGAACTCCCTTCTTATCCCAAAAAAACTGTTGCCATTTGCTTC